GTAAACAGTCAAGTTTCTGATTCATGTTTTAAATCTGTCTCTACGAACTATGTAGTAGACTTGCATTAGAACGCGTAATTGCTACAAAGTCGATCTTATTTATTGTTCATACAGTACACAGTAAAGACAAATAGATACGAGAATACGACATCTCTTTTTCTTTATATAAGGAAGGACAGAACACGTATGATATGATTATCATGTGCACAACACATCTTTCTGGAATATCCTTCAGCAGGTACGCTTGAAACCAAACACTATGAAAGCCAAAAAATAAAACATGGTGACGCTTTCAGAAACTACACAACTAGACTTCGACCGATATACATAGGACCACATGGTTGAAGGCATTGAAATATCTTCTCTTAAACACACGTCATTAGTTTCAATACAAACGCACTGAACTATAAAAATATAAACTGGCTAATCTGATGTCACCTAAATCCTCATAATGCAAATTATAAACAGACAAATATTACAATGAAAACGACGGAAACCGCATGAACTACAAATGAAGTTCGGCAGGAGTGTCACCAGGGTTGGTATCTCATGACAAACTTTTCCTTATTTGCCCTCAAAATGAAACAAGCTTACGATTAGAATAAATTTTGTAAAAAAAATTAGAAATATGCAAATCAGTTCACCGTATGTAACTAAATGCTGTTCTATGAAAGATAAGTATGCCGATTTTTAAAATAAATATGTGATGACATGGTTACATATGATGGATTCAGCACAATCATTATATCATGTAAAAAACTGTGTTCTTTATTGTAGTATGGATGTTCAAGGTGATTATGAACCAACAGATGCCACTGGCTTTATCAAGATAAATGCTTTACGGTAATTTTTCTGACACATTTAGTATGCGTATATAAAGGGTTACATTAAAACATTTGTTATTGAATGGCGTTGAACTAAAAGATTCACTATTTTGCCCCTAAAATTTATTGAAACATATACAAACATTTACTCTCAATCGTCTAATCAATAAAAGGTATCAAACCACTAACTTGGCTCCATTGCTTTCTATGTTAAATTTTTACCAATTTCGGGCATTCCTATCTATTTTGTCTTTAGTTTGATTAAAGTGGCAGTCATTCCATGTCAAAACATTACATTAGTCTGACCTGTGCTGGAAAATTCATACATTCAATTGCATATAAGATCAATAGTTTCTGGAAGTCCGGAAGGATAAACACAGGTACTTCTGATCCGAAAAAAAGGCACAATTTTCCCTTATTTTTCAATTTTATATAACTTTTTTATTGTTCAAAATTCAACGTTGATTCAAGGTCCTTTAGCTTTCATTTCATATCAAAATTACCCAAATATTTGACATATTTTGAAAGTTACAGCTTTTTTTTATATCTAAAATTCAGTTGGTCGTGGCATATTGCCTCCCGTAAAAAGAAAAAAAACAATCACAAAAAAAATCAATATATATAGTTTCTGATGACATAAAAAAAAAGATATATCTTTTAGTGTTACTTTTATGATACAATAAAGACACTAGTTACATGGATAAAAGTTAAATAGATAATGACTACCTTGTTCTTTTTGATATTTTCAGTCTTCGAGAATTCCAGCGACTTAGAAGTTTGTCGAACAATTAAACAACATGTATTACTTATTCCTGTGTGGTTTTCAATGACATTATTTTTATTTTGTATCAATACCTTTCAAACCAATATACACAATATAGTACTTTCGATATGTTTATAATAATTGCTTATCATAGTTATTAAAAATAAAATTAAAATTAGTTCCGAAAATCATTTTTATTGAGGTCCAAAGGTATCTTAGTATAGTTATTACACTTTTTTAGAGACTGAGAAATATATTTGCACGGAATCGTCTCTAACATTTTATGATAGCTTCTCTTGAAATAAAAACTTATTCTCAATCAGCTAAAATACTAACAATTTTCCCATTAGTTTTCCTACTTAGACGATGATTAACATTTCAGTGTCTTAGATACACAGAAATTATGTTAAATTCGATAGGAGGCATTTTTATCGTTTGAATTCGAAAACGATTAAAACTGTTCTTTATCAAGAACAGAGAGTGTTCTGAATTGCGCCATTTAAAACTATTCTACTTTAGATCAGTTATTGACAGATGTACACTAAAGATTCCACAAATGTGTGAGCTAGAACAGCTTTAGACAGTTCAATCCTAGATCTAGGCAAAAGTAGTTGATGTTCAAATCTCATAAATCGATGAAAAAACAAACAAAATCTGAGGGAATTACATAAACTCCAAACGAAGTAAGGCCGGGTGCGTCGACAGGGTAACCGACCTCTGCTATGCATGGATCGGTAAAACTAATACAGATTCCATCAATTATACGCTAGAACTCATTCGGACAGCTCTGCCCTAGAACAGATTCTGACAGTCATGCCTTAGAAGATTTCTTGACGGTTATAGAGCAGTTTTATGACAAATGATGCTTATAGTTGTGGTACTATCACTTCCAATTAGATTCATGCAAAGATGTTCTAACCATGAGATGAGAAGTTTCGTATAGTCAGATATTACGGTGGAAAATTCAAATTGTACTCTTTCCATGTTTGCATCACATTTATACTCAATACATATACAAGCCCAGACTACTCACTTTCTAATTCATGACACTGAATTTAATTCAAATGATGATAATCTGATATATATGTTTAATCTGAATGAAAAGAGAAAATGATAAAATCTTAAACGGTGCAAATAAACATCTCATCCTTAACTAAATAGTAACCCTCTCAAACGGTCAAAATGGTGTTTACTGGCCATGTTCATGCAATATTTGCTGCCGAAAAATTTTAACATTTGTCTCGATGTGGCGCGTGGTTGTATTAATGCTTGTATGGATCACGTATCTTTAAAGGCAACAGTAGCATACCGGTGTTCAAAAGTCATAAATCGATTGAGAGAAAACAAATCTGGGTTACAAACTAAAACCGAGGGAAACACATCAACTATAAGAGGAAAAAGGAACTACGGGAACACTGAAGTGCAACAAAAAAAAACGCAAACATACATAGAAACGAACTATTTGATAACAACTGCCATATTCCTGACTTGGTACAGGACATTTTAAGAAAAAAAAGGTTGGTTGAACCTGGTTTAATGGCTACCCAAACCTCCCGCTTTAGGTAAAATTGCTCGTTTATTTCATGGCAATATTTGATTTTATGTGAATCTGATGCTTTAAAAGATAATGTCACTTTACGATGTAAATACCACGTGTAGCATATTGCATATGGGGGTAATCCCAAAGTAGACGGATGATTAATCAAGGAGAAGAATAATATTTACAACGTCAAAGAATATCAGAATTTTATACTTCTGGAAGAATTATGCATAAAAAAGTGAACGCAAAAGGCATTTGTAAATGAACGCAAAGAAAATGTATGCATGTTTGAGAATACTCGAAATCCGGGAATATCTTCTTCAATCTAAAATATATATCTTTCAGTTTAAGCCAGTACTTTTCCATACATTCGTTCCATTTTGTATATTATATTCGCATTGTAGGGCAAGTAAATTTTCGACGCCCTCGAGTTTAGAGAGTGAAATGATGTCTCATTCTAAAAGAAGTCTTGCAACTATTCTAGTATCCGTACATGCCCTGTTACAAGCCAACATTTAAGAACTACCAAAACAACCATAATTTTCCAGTGGTTCGATTCGCCTCATCTGCATTTTGGTCTATGTTGTTCTTGTTTTGAATATGCATGAACTATTTTCCCCTGTTAATATTTACAAAAAAAATTCTATTATCATTTACCAGAGTATTTTCTAGTCAGCTTAAAATTTATAGTTCTTGGTGGAAAACGTGACAAATATCGGTAATCGAAAAATTCTGTCACCTTGTTTTTCGATTGAATAAACAGTTTTATAGTCCTTCCCTTCGTCTATATCATCCTGCTCAGTCGCTCCGTAAATCTCGTATCACGGCTTAATTTCAGACGTAAGCAGACATTATCAGCGACGTCACAATGTCTAAGGAAAAGTTATAAGCGACACCACAATGTGTGAGGAGACGTTAGCAAGCTTTCTTTCGTTAAAGATAAAGCTGTCTAAAGGAGGGAAGAAACAGTAATAAAACGGTAGTCAGAATATCGGGTTTTCTACCGTACGTATAGATATCGTAAAATATCAGCCACTCGACACAATGTGAATTTTTTTGCTCGTTCGCTGTGCTCACTCGCCAAGAAGCTTCAATTTGTGGCTCGCGGCTGATATTTAACGATAAAAATGGGTAGAAAACCCAATAACCTATACAAACATACTACTAGTAGCCGTGGTGGTCTCAAACATACGACATCACCTAGAAACCATCACCAATGAAAGAAGCAGATATTTAACATTACAGCATACAACAAGAAGCAAATCAAATGGAACTAAATTATTCCAGTTTTTTTGCCATTTTGTAACTTAAACAGCAGTCAATATTTACATTTAATGCATTCTAAGCGATAATTTTGTAATCGGAACAGTGATCGTGTACAATATGAAGACGCAAATGCGGAGAAATCTGTATATTAATTATTTTAGCGCCGCAACTTTTTGCTCACTCTAAACAACAAATTACTCGTGTATTTTTTATTAGAAAAGATTATACAATGTAGTAGAATACACACAGTTCCATCTTCGCTTAATTTTATACATTTTGATTTGATGTTCTTCTTTTTGGACGCTGCGTTAATATGTTTTTTTCATAACGAGACAGACAAGACCAAGCCGGCTTCAGCATTTCTAAGAAATGATCAACATATTTATACATGCATTTCAATTACTGTAAAGAAACTATATGGAGTAATTCCTTGTAATTTAAAATGTGTGTTCTTGACATCTTTACTTTAAAACATAAAGAAACTGTCCTCAACATCAAAAAAGTTTGATAGTTTTTGTTAACTGATTGGGTTCAATATATCCTTCGGATGAACGGGCAGTTTAACTTTTTGTAAATTAATAATATAATGTTGTAACAATAAACTGTCATTTTGTCATTTATAATGAGATGATAAATATAGTTATATGTATCACATCAGTTTCCTCTACTTGATTCACTGGGTTTGCGTTCATCGTTAATATTTGCTCCTTTTCATCCAAAACTTTTGAAGGTAATCAAGATTTGGATATTTTCGTGTAGACTTCACTGACAGTTATAAAAAAAAAAAGCAATTAAGTCCATTTTTGAAGTTGCTCTTTTTTTGTTGCATTCTCAACCATTGGTCTAAATGTACCCTAATAATTATATATACAAATAAGGAAATGAATATCGTAAAAATTATGAAAAGGTACTGTTTTTATTTAAGTACTATCACCTTCTCGGGAAATGGACATTTGTGTAATGTAAATGTAGATCAACTGACAGAGTATTCGATTAACCGCATGACGCCCTTGTTATTGCGAACGTACATTATGATGAATATAATGCAACGTTCTCGCAGAGGCTTTTTAATCGGAAGTAAATATATTACAGTTGTGGGTAATAGAAAATGAAAATGATTTATTGCAGTATTTTTTTTTTATAGAACAGAATAAGTTATTAAATTCACGTTTAATGTTATCATTTCTGCAGTCTATAATCAACGTCTATTTCTTCTTTTCGTGTCGCTTGAAAATAACCTTTTCTAGTCCCATCATCGGCGCCTCAAAAGCAAGAGAAGTCAAAAATGCTCCTGCATATGACAAGGCAAGATGTCCTAAAAATTCATATATCTACAAGTAAAAATATATGCTAAATAGATTTAGAATTCTTTTTAATTTAACAAATACACAATGTATTTTATATATGCTGCAAAATATCCCAGTTTACTCAAGTAGTTATCTTATCTACCGTGTTTTATCCTATTCAAATTAAATGAGAATTTTGAAAGCATTTGTCTTGCAATTTTAAAGTTGATCCTGTTGTTTCATAAAAAAATATTATTTTTCACTATATTCATTCAGTTTGGCTCCACATATGCCAAGAATAAGCTCAATATTGTGTGTGTGTGTGTGTGTGTGTGTGGAGGCTCTCAATCAACATTCCCATAAATTATAATAGAGTGGGGTGTTTATGTTTCAAAAGTGGAAACAATGGAAGAGTTTCTTTTCAGAATCCAAACTTCCGTATGGTAGGAAAGTTTGTAATCTGATTTTGACAAAATGTTTAATTTACTTCCTTGCGCTTCAAGTCCAAATATCAAGAACTTTATTCTGATCAGCCTTCTTAGCGTAACTATATCTAGCTAATCTATCTGATTATATTAGTATTGCACAACTTGTTCTTGTCCAAAATATTTATGAAATACTTGGTACTGGACGTTACAAGAACCAGATAATTAGTTTACACCAGTTGAACATATATTGTATTATATTAACTTGATTAGGGGGGGGGGGGGGAGGGAATCAACCATGAAAACATAAAATAAACATAAGATGTTATTCAGGACTTCCAAATTCCATACAATATGAACAGTTTGTTTTTGTTTTTGTGCTTCAGTGGTATACACATGTGAAAATGAACAAATTACAATCAAGAAGTAGCTCTAAAGGGAATGTATTGTGTATGTAGGAAAAAAATTGAAGCAATTTTCATAACCAGGGTAGGAACAAAATAAGGGATTTTCCTTCCAGTCCTGATTCCTATAGTGTATGAAATGATTTAAGGTTTGACTTTTAACATAGTATTTTAGAAGATTTTTACGATCAATTGAGGCTGCTTATGTCAAGTAATGTTTTTAACTGACGCTTTTCAATAAATGAGCTTTACCCCTACGCATATGCATATGCAAATCTTAATTACTTTAGCATATTGTCTTATAACATATCTTAATGTTTTTGTTATTTTGAGAATTTGCTGTTAATCTTTCTGTTAATTTATTCATAACTTTATAGACTCGAGAATGTATTGTATTTTTTGGAAGACCTACATTGTCATCTAAAAGTATTTTAGACATTTTTGTCGTTTGGTAGCTGTCTCATTGACGTGTACCCCTCGTTTCCTTTAATCAATAAATATTTACCTAGTTATTTTCTCCTTTTGCTCATTTTGATACCCAGATAATTAAAAAAACCTATGAACGCATTTAAAATTGTTCTGCACTTGGTAAATAAATCAGTATTTCTGCTGTGTAAAGGGGATAATTGGTTTTGTTAAGTAAAATAGGGTACCGATTTATCGCACGCACGACGGGTGTTTCTGAAATAATCGTCTTTAGGCTCAGATTGTACGATAGGAACTAAAAAGTGAAAAGTAAAATAACAAAAATACCAAACTACAAGGAAAATTCAAATCGGAAAGTCCCTTATCAATTGGCAAAATCAAAAGCTCAAACACATCAAACAAGTGGAAAACAACTGTCATATTCCTGACTTGGTACAGGCATTTCCTTATATAGAAAATGGTGGATTAAACTTAGTTTTATAGCTAGCTAAACCTCTCACTTGGACGACAGTCGCATAAAATTCCATTATATGTGTGAACAAAAAAAAAAAAATTACAGGTAAAAACCACACACATAAAATGTTGATGACAAACCAAAAGGGCCAGAAACGGTTTTTGCACCACTTACAATTTCTGTATCAGTAAAATGAATCAGCCTTCGTCTTGTCAGTAGGTAGTAATAGATAATAGGAGGATGCACAAGGTATGCACAGTATGTAAGTCTGCTAAGTGGAATAAAACCTTTCCAGGATAAAATTGTGTTCACGTAACCTGTAAAAGGGGAAGGTTTTATTGAGTAATATCATCTAACTTAATTTGAAATAAAGAATATATATCAAACCTACTGCACGTGTAATCATTACATGTTATATATTTAGTTCTAAGTTATTAAACTCAATAAATGTAATGCACTGTATGTGTAAAAGTAAATCTAGTTGAAAGGACAATTACATACAAAGTACGGTGTAGATTCTGTTTCAATTTCCAATAGAAAATGAAAGAAAATGTGTTTAGCACCCATTGATATTCAACTAAAATGTCATAAAGTATGTTTAAATCAACTATTATAGCAGATAGATCACACAGTGGGAAGAATGTTTTAATAGGACAATGTTTAACAAATCTGGCAATACTAATAAACTTGATACATTTGTACTAGAAATATTCAAAATGGTAGCTTGTGTAACATATTACCTCCATATCCATGAGCACATGCAAATATCACCCAGGAGATTGCAGCGCCCCAGACTGTTCTGTGCACCGAAAGGTAGAATGAGGACACTTCCTGTGACGGACGATTACCGTTAACGTCATCATATATACCGTATAAAACTGCACATGCTGATACAGAGGCCACTAACCAACCAAATAAATTAACAAACTACAAAAAAGAGATACACTTCATTAAGAATTCAATTTTAAAACTATTCTTTAGATATTGACATCAAATGGTTATTATTCTGGATGTACATCAGCGGGCTTCGAGTCCTTGCTTCTGTGACATCGTGGCAACACCGCCTGCACCGTGTCCAGCGCCCTAGACCACTCGACCACCTAGGTTACATAAATATAGCTTTCGGTGGTCGATATAAAGCCTTTCTTTCCTCGTTGTCATTATCTAGGGTTGTAACACAGTACATGCTGTATAGTGGCAAGTAGATGGTGTACCTTTCAGATCAGCTATTTCGTCTGTCGTAAAGGATGATAATGTTAATTACCATGCCGCCAGATCAAATTTTAATTTTTGAACATATATATATATACATGCACACGTATAAAAATTGCGGTTTTTATCCAACGCCATCCTAGGTTTGAACGTTGTTTTCAATTTAGACTTGTTTATATATATAGACATACATAGAAAATGTGGTGCTTTTATGAACAGCTCAGAAAAACCTTATGATGAAAGGCAAAGAAGATAAAAATTAACGAGTCAGCCAATAAAACATTCAAGATGATTAAAACAGAAATTTCTCGAGGAATCATAAACTTTCTTATTATTTTCAAACCGTATGACGCACATAACATGTGAACATGTAATTCTGTCAGCTGTGTTCATTTTGAATGTGTTCACATGTACATATAATTGAAACGCAACAAAGTAGTTTTCATCGGTTGAGATATTTAGAAGAAACGTAAATCTTAATAATCAAAAAGAAGAGGAAACATCCTATTAAAAAGGTCAGCTAAGTTACAGATTACATACATAAATATAAACATAAAACTTACTCTATTTATTTTCAACTTTAAATCTGTTTTATAAAGCAGATATCCAGTAAACATTCCCACTAAGTAAGGGCCCATTCGGAAGTAAGGCCTGATATAAAGTTTTCCCCAGTGAGTCATATCTCCTCTGAAATAATTATCATATATAAGTAACTTCCATATACAAAATAAAGGTCCGTATTTACAAAACTTATCAACTGCAAAATCATAGGTTATCAAATGACTTACACGGGGATATACATAATTCAACCATCAACCATTAATGTTTGTGCATTTTACATTTGGCATACAGTAGGGTTTTCAAATTTACATACAGTTCTCGAAATTTTAAGATTTATCAAGTATAATGTTCCATATGCGTTGCCACAATCCCGGCCTCTATTCATCGATTGTGATGTCACCGAATGCGACGTAGCATCAGATTTGTTTTACTTGCCATGAACAACACGACGGGTACCTTAAGTGGAACAAGAACTGCCTACCCTTCTGTTGTAGCACCTGCGTTTTTCCTTCGTTCTTTTAAAGGACAATAGGTGCCATTGTTTTTGCTTGAGTTTTCAGTTTTTTGGCTTTCAATATTTGTCTTGTATATCTTTAACTCATCCAAAATTTCATATTTGGTAAAAGTCTAAGAGTTCGATAGAAATACGTTTACCAATGGTCTATGTATTTGGTAATTTCTGAAAGTTAGACAAGGGAAATTCGCTTTTATATGATGCATAATCTTTGGATATAACTCCTCAAGTTTTTAAGAGGAGAGACACTTGTGGTATCAATAGTAAAGCAGGATTTGCTTCCCGAGCATACAAGTCCACTCGTGGGTTTTGGTGTTACTCGTTTTTTTTTTATTATTTTTTAAAAGTTTTTTATGGACTGTTGGTCTTTTTTTTTCCTATTTTTTTCGGCCATGGTCGTTTATAGTTTTCTTTTTCTTGTACTGTTTTATTGTCCACTTAGTATCTTTTCTACATGTATATTTTTTCATAATGAATTATGATATTAAGTTTGTATTTACCCATCAAACATTGACATTGGAACATTCCATTTCGTTGCCATAACACCCGTTGCTACCAATGTTCCAGTCAAAAAAGCTAATAGTACAGCAAATCCAGCAACTTGAAAACTAAATACAATTGATTCAAATATTAGGATTCATATTCAATAAAATTTTGAAAAAGTAAGTCTTGTACGTTATTACTGTTAGTCTTAGTTATTATCCTACTTGATCATGTTAAAACAAAGCCATCTATGAGTTCTACACTGGTATGGTAATGCTAGATGTTCAAAAAGCTTTTGATACAGTTATTCATTCTATTTTATGCTATATACTACAAATAATACGTGTAAAGACCATAGAATGGTTAAAAATGGTTTGCAAAACACTCTTTTGCAAATCCGGCACCGCCTTTTATAAAAGATACTTTGTCAAGTAAATAATTCAAATGTGCATGGGATTTATGAAATACTAAGCTTTAAGACTATAAAATTGTTTTGCAATTTGAATTAAAAGAACATGGGATTAAAAGTAGAAATTTTAATAGAAAAAAACATGAATTTTGTAAATTTCAAACGGTAAAGTTCCATAAAAGTTTGTTATTTTCAGGTTTATAAACAATAATTGTGTCAGCAATTTTTGCAAGAATTAATAGATAAAACTAAATTCTGACGAAGTTTGACAAACTAAATCTGTTATATAAGAGTACCAGAATTTCGACTTGTGCAATAATGTTTTAACATTCAGACTATATATATCATGTATATATTTCATGACATTTCAGATTTACTTTAAACTTTGTTTTTTACTACACATTTTAACAGTTATGGATATTCCTTTTGAGAACATGTGCAAAAACAAACAATAATATCTGCCTATAAATGTTTTCGACCGTTATTAAGAGTACCCCATAACTGGTCATTTTGAATGTTACTCTAAGCATAAAATGAAACGGCAAATTTCAATAAGACTTTTAAATGGATCCCTACCCTTCTAAATTTGTTAAGTAAAATAAAACGAGAGAAAAAGTTTGGGGTTGCCAAGGCTTACCTCTTAAAAGTCTTCACTTGCATGTTTGCGACAACATCACAACTCCATATAATATGTCTTGTTGGGTAGCAATGGTAAACAAAGACAAACAACAAATGAACACACACACACATGAACACACACACACACACACACACACACACACACACACACACACAAGTTTGATTCATGTTGTCTGTTACAAGGCATAATTGTAATTAAAGGTTTTTTGCTTGTGAGTTAATTATTTGTTCCTTTTTTTCACCTCAACAATTTAGTTTACTGAAATACTCACAAAAATAGCGGAAGTAGTATTAAAGGACTAAGTACAAAAAACTGCATATCATTAGCTAAATACCAAGCCCATCCAAAGCACTGAAAACAATTGAATAGATACGAAATGCTTTAATACACTTTATATATATATATATGTTTCAGTAGACATGTTTTAATATGCTATGATAATAAATCAAGACTTGTAGTATTAACATCAATTTCCGAGTTATCATTAAGTATTTATCTATGAGGACTTCTGTTTGTTGAAATGTAATTGTATGTTGCTCAACGCCAACTCAGATGCTTACATTTACAAATGATTTTTTTCGTGATTTGGATGACCGTTATGGAATATCTGGGTCACAGATGACCACGGATATATTCTATTTATCGTACCCACATTCCGTCCTCTGTTCCTCGATTGTGATAATTCCGATAACAACTGATCAACAATGTTTACATGTAATGAGTAACACGACGAACAACTGCTTACACTTCTGAGAACAAATGAGATCACTCCCGAATTTTGGTTGGGATGAGTTATTTGAACTTTTTTAATTTTCTATTTAGTGTTTTCTTGAATGTAGTTGTCTGTCTTTTCGTCATTTTGCTTTGTATCCATGGTATTGTCTATTTATAAGGTTTCATATAGCCCTTCGATATCAACTCCTTCTTTTTACATCTAAATCCCTTAAGATACTCGATTTAAATTACTTTACATCATTTTCCATATCAGTTCTGATATCATCCCAGATTTGCATATATAATGTGGTGAAGGAATAATGTCTTGGAGTATCGGGGTTATATCGAGGCTACCTGATATATGAATCACTAGATTATATCGGCACTGATATTAAAATTGTTTGTCATATAATGTACATGTACAGTATATAATACATTTCCTACTGAACGTTTTTTAACAATTTTGATATTCATAAAAATACTTGTTAACAGATGTGGTATGATTAGTTGTGAGACAACTATCCGTTAAGACTAAAGATGTGAACATTACAGGTCATCGTAAGGTCTTAAAAAATAGGCAAAACTCATACTGTATAGTAAGCTATTAAAGATCCCGGTAGAGAAAATGTGTAATAATTCAAAAGAGAAAACCAACGGCCTGATTTATAAAACAATGCACAAAAAACACAAATATCACAGGCAACAACCACTGGATGAAAGGTTACTAGCTTGAAACAGACACGTAAAGAATTTAGTTGGATTAAACATGTTTGTGGGCGCTCAATATTCCTGGGAGAGTGGTGTAACAACACAAACACAGAAGAAGCTGTAAACATTAAGTTAGAAAGTGTTGACTTATACGATCAGTACTCAGCACTAAATCAAACAACAATTAACCCCGCCACATCCGTTATGTGCCTGTCCCAAGTTTAGACCTTGTAGTTCAGTGGTCCATGTCTCATTTTTGTTTTTCGGAAACTGTTTTGACATAAATAGGCCGTTAGTTTTCTCATTTGAATTGTTTCACATATTTCATGTCGGGGCTTTTATAATCGACTATATGGTATTGGTTTTTCTCATTGTTGGAGGCAGTACAGTGGCCTATAATTGCTTACATCCACTATATTTGAACTCTGGTGGATGGTTGTCTCATTGGCAATCGAACCGCATCTTCATATTTTTATAAAAAACGTGTAATGATATGGTGATTTTTTAAGACAATAACTACTTGAGACATTGCTACTATGTAATAGTAAAATAAATTGTCAAACGTACCGAATCTTCTGGTTTGTCAAAAAAGTTATTGATGTACAGCAGATTATAGTACCAAGAAGTTTTACAGTAATTATATTCATTTCCGTCTTTTTTCCATAGAGGACCGCTACCAGTATATGGAAATAATGAAACATAAACCATCAATACCAACATGTATGGTGGCGTTAACCTGGAAAATAGAATTATCATAGACCATCAATACCAACATGTATGGAGACGTTAACCTGGAATATAGAAATATCATAAACCATCAATGCCAACATGTATAGAGACGTTAATCTGGAAAATAGAATTATCACAGACCATCAATACCATTATTTAAGGATGCCATCTAGAAAACAGTTATATCATAAACCATCAATGCCAACATGTATGGAGGCGTTAATCTGGAAAATAGAATTATCATAGACCATCAATACCAATATTTAAGGATGCCATCTAGAAAACAGTTATATCATAAACCATCAATGCCAACATGTATGGAGGCGTTAATCTGGAAAATAGAATTATCATAGACCATCAATACCAATATTTAAGGATGCCATCTAGAAAACAGTTATATCATAAACCATCAATGCCAACATGTATGGAGGCGTTAATCTGGAAAAAAGAATTATCATAGACCATCAATACCAATATTTAAGGATGCCATCTAGAAAACAGTTATATCATAAACCATCAATGCCAACATGTATGGAGGCGTTAATCTGGAAAATAGAATTATCATAGACCATCAATACCAATATTTAAGGATGCCATCTAGAAAACAGTTATATCATAAACCATCAATGCCAACTTGTATGGAGGCGTTAATCTGGAAAATAGTAATATCATAAACCATCAATGCCAACATGTATGGAGGCGTTAATCTGGAAAATAGTTATATCACAAACCATCAATGCCAACATGTATGGAGACGTTAATCTGGAATATAGTTATATCACAAACCATCAATGCCAACATGTATGGAGGCGTTAATCTGGAATATAGTTATATCACAAACCATTAATGCCAACATGTATGGAGGCGTTAATCTGGAAAATAGTAATATCATAAACCATCAATGCCAACATGTATGGAGGCGTTAATCCGGAAAAATAGCAATATTAAATAGTAACTGAACACGTCATTTTCATACAACCTATTTCGCCACTTTGTAAAGAGGTTCTAGTCATGACCTAATATATTTTCAATTTCGGTTAAAAACACGACTTTCATATAGCATTCTTATTACATGTAGCTGTATTTAAAATATGTATCAAAATCTTCTTTGAACATTGCACACTATCGTATTTTGTTCACTATTCATGATGCTGCTGTATTTAAGCAATCAGAAGTACAATGCCCGATATTAACATATAAAAATGCATAATTTTACTATCAGCAGAAGAAATAATTTTGAATTTACTGTCGTCAGTATACAGGCTAAGAAGGAACCAAAATGTAGTCAAAAATCATAAGATGAAAAAAGTTAAACAACACTGTAGTAAAATCCGAAAGGACAAATCAGTCTCACAAAACACCATACAGAAAACTAATGATTGAGTAACATGAACTACATCAAAACCGAAAGCGAGTTCAGGTGCTTCTTAGGGGCGAGCACTTCAACTTGAGACATTTTGTTTCGTATTCTTTATACTTAAATATACGATAAGTCATAATAGGTGATAAGGCATGATACTTTAGTAAATTGGTAATAGTATCTTGTCAAATTCTTAGACAAACCCAAACTGTCGCCACATGAAAATTATAAGACCCAACTGTATAACCACACATTAAAGATTTGAAATCAAAACAAAGTGTCTCGGGACAAAGGATTATAAAAATAGAGATGTGGGTATACGGCAATATTCTTTGAAAAAAAGTTTTACGGCTTTTCTAGACTCGGAGGAAAAATAGAACCAGTCATATGGTATTAACATTTTCTATAACTGAAAACTGAACATTTACATCTACATGTCTTTTAGAGTCTTGTGTTACATTGATGCATTTATCATACATCTCCTCTCTTAATCGTAAGCAAGATCTTACCTCCAAAATCTATGAAAATAAAACATTGCCCAGTTTAATTTTCCTCGTTTCTTTGCCATTTCTTTCATCACAAGGTATGTCAATAAAAGGCCACTTTGGAAATTGGAAATAAAACAAAAAATCCAATACTTAAGTAATATATCAATTATTTAATAATTTTAGAAAATACATTTGATTGTTTCCAACTCTACGCATGGACATTTTAACTGTGTGTTTCCGTCTTTTTTTCACCAAGATGATTTTGTTTTTATCTTGCTATAATTATCAAATATTGCATTTACCTCTTCTTTTCAGTTTTGTTAAAATCAAGATCATACAACTTGATGATATAACATCTCCAGCTGTAAATGATTTACCGTTGTTCTAATAGAAAGATAAGTTGTAATTTGTACTTACATGAACAATACGACGGGTGCCACATGTGGAGCAGGATCTGCCTACCCTTCCGGAGCACCTGAGATCGTTCGTGTTGCTCAGTCTTTGGTTTTCTATGTTGTTTTGTGTACTGTTGTTTGTCTGTTTGTCTTTTTCTTTTTTAATCATGGCATTGTTTATCCTTCGCCTCTCTTATAGGAAACCAAGCATCGTGCAACAGTCACTTCTTTTTATCCTTACAACAATTCTGATAAGCATTTTAGAAATAAGCGCTGTTTTCATTAGTCATCTATTTAATTGTTTACCTCAAAACAAAAAAGGTGTCCACTGATACAAGAGCGTTACTGACAGCAGGAAATGTAACTCTTTTCATCATTTCAGGCAGAAATGTACCAACATTATCTTTAAATAAAAATGCTCAGTATAAATATTCAAAGTAAACACAAAATAAACAATAATTTCTCGTTCCCAACTGTCTTTCGTTGCTTATACCACATACCCTCCGTTAGTTCGCTTTTTTAGTGTCTACATTTTAAAGAAGTTAACTTGTATGTTACTATAGAAACTCATCAAAGATACCAGGCATGTAATTTTGTACGCCAGACACTGTTTCGTCCAAAAAAAAATACTCAGTGACGCTCGAATCAAAAAAGTTAAAAGTCTAAATTAAGTAAAAAGTTGAAAAGCAATGGAAACCCAAAATTCTGAAAGGTTTTGCCAAGAAAAGACAATGTAATCTATTCCTGTGTTAGACAATCCTTAGTATTTCAAACAATTCAAAGTTTTGTTAACAGTTAATTTATAAATATGATATGACCATATCAATAATTCATGTTAACACTATAGAAATATTACATTACACCAATGATTTCATTACCACAGATCATGTCATGTACAAAGATTTATGTTTCCTAATTCTAAGGATAAACTCGTAAATGTAAGTGCAATCAATTGCAACTTATTTGTTAATTTAATCACCTCATCTATAAACGTCATATTGTAGTGATTCTTTTTTTAATTGTTCCTTAAAGCATTGCATAATTTAACATTAAATTATTGTGATTCTGCATGAGCTAATGGTGTTTTACTACAAACACACAAGAGTTGCATTGATTGATATTACAGGTTAGGAAACATGCTTTATATATTAATCAAGTGAACTCTGATTTGAATAATTGTTGCAACTGTTTTGCTGTGATGCAAATTTTCTATATATTTCTGCTTTATAAACTGGTTTATATATATAATTATCCAAAAAGATATCAATTCTTGGTTGTACAAATTAATTTAATTACGTGTTGTTATGGTTTTACCTTCTTATAGCCATTGCTTTGATATAACTTCTTGCCATATTTTGAAAAAAGAACAACTTATTTTTTTTATAATTTCTTACCAACATCAGAAAGTACAAAAATGTATGCATGTCCAAGTATAACCCAAGTCATGGATATAAATCTGATTCCATTGATAGCGGTCAATGAACCTTCCGGCTGATGTGTACTTAGAAGTTTTTCACCATTAGTATATACAGAAAAGGCGAGCAGGATTTTTCCAAATATTCCTGAAATTGCAAATAAAAGTAACATTTCAGTTATAGACATATTTACATTAAAGCCATATACATAGTTACATTTCAGACGTATTTACTTATAAAAAACGAAATGTTAATTATGACACAATTTCATTTTCACACTGCAACTTAAACCGAGCAGAATTAATTTGTACCCTGATACAGAATGATAAGGAAAAACTTCATGTTTGATATGTTCAATTGTTCATAACTATTTTGAACTCAGTTACATTTGATATACTGAACAAACAACTATCAAAGGTGAATTTTTTTTATCCAAATGTTAGCCATACCGGGTTGATATTTGACGAAAATGTTAGCCATAACTGGTTGATAACTGACCCAAATGTTAGCCATACCTGAGTGGTTGATAATTGATCTAAGTGTTAGCCATACCGGATTGATATATCATGCAAACTTTAGCCATACCTGGTTGAAAATTGACACAAATGTTAGTCATACATGAGTGGTTGATAATTTACCCAAATGTTAGCCATACCTGAGTGGTTGATAATTGATCCTAATGTTAGCCATACCTGAGTGGTTGATAATTGACCCAAATATTAGCCATCCCCGGTTGATATATGACGCAAACTTTAGCCTTACCTGGTTGAAAATTGACACAAATGTTAGTCATAGCTGAGTGGTTAATAATTGACCCAAATGTTAGCCATACGGGGTTCATATATGACGCAAACTTTAGCCATACCTGGTTGAAAATTGACACAAATGTTAGTCATACCTGGTTAATGATTGACCCAAATGTTAGCCATACCTGGTTGATAATAAACCAAATGTTAGCCATACCTGGTTGATAATTGACACAAATGTGACAAAAATAAGAAGATGTAGTATGATTGCCAATGAGACAACTCAACACCAGAGACCAAATGACATAGAAGTTTACAACTATAGGTCATCGCATGGTTTTTAACAAAAAACAAAACCAATACCGCATATTCAGCTATAAAAGGCCCTGAAATGTCGAATGTAAAACAATTCAAACGAAAACACCTAACCACCTGATAAAGTGCAAAACAATGAACGAAAAACAAATATGATATACAGCAACAAACGACAACCACTGAATTACAGGCTCCTGACTTGGGACAGACACATACAGAATGTTTGTTGGCGCCAAACCCTCCCCCTAACCTTGGACAATGGTGTCACACTTAAGCATAAGAACAAACTATAAAAATCAACTGAAAAGGTCTTAACTCATCAGATCGATACAAAGTTAGCCATACCTGGTTGAAAATTGACTATCTGAACACTATCTGTTATTAATGGAATTTTCTCGTTTGCCTCAACTGCAATTTCATCGGGTTTTCTTTGCTTTGCGGCCTGTTGCCACTTAGGCCACTGTATTAATGTTATATCATATGCAGTACCAGCTGCACTTATGGATATGAAGAAAGATATCACCACACTGTCAATAAATAGATTTACTTTTTGTAGAAAGAAATACACTTCATCATCATTGCTTTAATTATCATTCAACAATTACACACCAAATTTGTATATGTGAGAGAAAGGATATAAAATGAGAGCAAAAGCTCAGCAACATCCATTTCAATGATTTAGGTGCATCAGATGTAACGTCCTATTTCTTGCCGGATGTGGCTGCATTTTTAGTTCTCCTTTCCAAAAGGAAATGTGAGCTTTTGCCATCACTTGGCGTCCGTCGTCGTCGTCGTCGTCGTCGTCCGTCCGGTGTAAACTATTTCAAACATCTTCTCCTCTGAAACTACTGAACCAATTCCAACCAAACTTAAGCTGAATGATCCTTAGGGTATCTAGAATAAAGTTTGTGTTTTATTTTCTGTTTTGTCAAAAAACATGGCCGCCATGGCTTAAAAAAGAACATAGGGGTAAATGCAGTTTTTGGCTTATATCTCAAAAAACTAAAGCATTTAGAGCAAATCTGACATGGGTCTAAAAATTTTCATTAGGTCAAGTTCTATCAGCCCTGAAACATGATAAGGAGTTATTGGCCTTTAATGGCAATTTTTCACAATTTGTTCATCTAGTTTGCTTACTTTAAAAAATCTTCTCCTTTGAAACTGCTGAATCAATTTCAGCCAAACTTGGGCTGAATGAGTTTCAGAGTATCTAGTATAAATTTTGTATTTTATTTCCTTGAACGTCAAGAAACATAGCCACTATGGATAAAATGGAACATAGGGGTAAAATGCATTGTTTTGCTTTTGAAGAAAATATGACAGATACAAAGAACATTTAAATGGTATTTTTAAGCCACTCATTAATATATATTGAAAAGCAAAAATAATCATTGACGAAAGATTTAAGCAAAAAAATTACAGGTGAGCGATTCAGGCTCTTGAGAGCCTTTTGTTATACATCCTGAACAGTTTAATGGATGACTTGCAGTATAATTCTCATTGTGTGTCTATCCTAGTCAACCATTGGGTTCAGTATAGTATATGGTAAATAAGAACGCGTAAATTACGGTATTTGAACATTAAATTTTAATTTAGCTGTAATGTTGTAATTTTATTCAGATATAGTTTTTTAATAATTTGACACTACTTACAGAACGATTACAGCTCTAGTATCATAAGGTCTATCTGGTTGTTGGCATTCTGCTTGGTAGGCTATAAATAGGTTGTTTGTCACATTTTTCAGAGCTATAAATACAATATAATAAAATATCATTGTCAACAATATATCATGAATAGATAGGTTTCAAATCATTCAAAAAGTTCATAGAAGTAAATATAAGTATATTTCGTATATTAATTCCAGACGTATTTATATATATTGAATTATATTTACAATTTATGAATTGAGTCATCTGGCTTTAACGGTTTCTAACCATTTCCAAAAAATGATACTGTAAGTGCTGAGTAACTTTCAAATTCGCAAATCTATATAGTTTGCACAAAAGGTATTACCAGTGTATATAACCACCTAATACGGATTCTACTACTAGTGTATATCACCACCTAATACGAATTCTACTACTATAGTGTATATCACCACCTAATACGGATTCTACTAGTTTGCACAAAAGGTATTACTAGTGTATATCACCACCTAATACGGATTCTACTACTAGTGTATATCACCACCTAATACGGATTCTACTACTAGTGTATATCACCACCTAATACGGATTCTATCACTAGTGTATATCACCACCTAATACGGATTATATTACTAGTGTATATCACCACCTTATACGCATTCTACTACTAGTTTATATTACCACCTAATACGGATTCTACTACTAGTGTATATTGCCATCTAATACGGATTCTACTACTAGTGTATATCACCACCTAATACGGATTCTACTAGTTTGCACAAAAGGTATCACTAGTGTATATCACCACCCAATACGGATTCTACTACTAGTGTATATCACCACCTAATACATATTCTACTACTAGTATATATTACCACCTAATACGGATTCTACTACTAGTGTATATTACCACCTAATACGGATTCTACCAGTTTGCACAAAAAGTATTACTAGTGTATATCACCACCTAATACGGATTTTACTACTAGTGTATATCACAACCTAATATGGATTCTACTACTAGTGTATATCACCAACTAATACGGATTCTACAACTAGTGTATATTACCACCTAATACGGATTCGAATACTAGTGTATATCACCACCTAATACGGATTCTACTAGTTTGCACAAAAGGTATTACTAGTGTATATCACCATCTAATACGGATTCTACTACTAGTGTATATTACCACCTAATACGAATTCTACTACTAGTGTTTATCACCATCTAATACAAATTCGACTATTAGTGTATATCACCACCTAATATGGATTCTACTACTAGTGTATATTACCACCTAATACGGATTCTACTACTAGTGTATATCACCACCTAATACGGATTCTACTACTAGTGTATATCACCATCTAATACAAATTCTACTACTAGTGTATATCACCACCTAATACTGATTCTACTACTAGTGTATATTACCACCTAATACGGATTCTACTAATAGTGTATATTACCACCTAATATGGATTCTACTACTAGTGTATATTACCACCTAATACGGCTTCTACTACTAGTGTATATCACCACCTAATACGGATTCTACTACTAGTGTATATTACCACCTAATACGGATTCTACTACTAGTGTATATCACCACCTAATACGAATTCTACTAGTTTGCACAAAATGTATTACTAGTGTATATCACCACCTAATACGGATTCTACTACTAGTGTATATTACCACCTAACACGGATTCTACTACTAGTGTATATTACCACCTAATACGGATTCTACTACTATAGTGTATATCACCACCTAATACGAATTCTACTAGTTTGCACAAAAGGTATTACTAGTGTATATCACCACCTAATACGGATTCTACTACTAGTGTTTATTACCACCTTATACGAATTCTACTACTAGTATATATTACCACCTAATACGGATTCTACTACTAGTGTATATCACCACCTAATACGGATTCTACTACTAGTGTATATTACCACCTAACACGGATTTTTCTACTAGTGTATATCACCACCTAATACGGATTCTACAGTTTGCATTATGTTTGCTTTATATGTTTATTATACTGACAATACTGCTTTACCTTTTAAACTCTCATATCTATCAATATTGTATCCTCTTAATTTAATATCAAATTATACAATTATATACTAGATGCTATTTTTTTAGAGAAATTATGCAAAAATAAGAATTGAAATCGTACAAACCTATGTCAATTAAACGTTGCGTATCATTGACTGTACAACTGTCAGGCATACACATTCCAATATTTAACGGTGTGTACTAAAAAAAATAGTCATTGCGATTAAGATATGCTAACCAATTCATATTTTTGCATTCCTTTCGTTTTATTTTAAAAGAAAAATGCCTGCTATTCTTTGAACCTAAGACACAGTCTTTTTAGATTGTTTCTAAAATTATCCCTTTGCATTTTGTTATAGATGTTTAGAAATTTTTTTAAAAAAAAAGATCATAAGTTGTAAAAAGACAGAGCGTCATCGCATAGAGTAAAAAATACGAATACAATAACAACTGTCTACAAAACCGTTCTCCATGCAAATGTTTTTTGTAATGCTCACTTTTTAATTCTCCTCTTTTCCTTTGATTTTTTTAATTACGTGTTTCAATACATTTTGTACCGTTATTTCGTTTAAGAAATTGACTATACATGCTTATTAATTTCAATGTCATAGGCACCTGGAGACATACGATAGAGGCGGGTAGTTCCGTTCGTCCCGTGATGTACGTTTTTTACATTTTGTCAACGAAGTGCACGGACTTACCGGAAGAACAATATAATAAAGACTAACTTGTTACGTAACTATAGCAATACATAAGATCAAACGTAATATCTCACCAGTGGTAGTATTGGTGGTAAAGCTTGTATGTTAACTACGGTAACTATGCAATATTGTGTTTCAAAACTATATGTTAAATTTTTAGCAACTGCATGTCCTTCGATGTCTAGACATTCTTCATAGTCACCCAACCATCTGAATCCCCCACCCAGCAGATTAGCTGGGGGTTTACCTGCAGAATCCAACACTAAAAACACAAAAGTATCTCATTGTTAATGGTACTGATGATCATTGTCGTTATATCTTTTTATTCTAACTAGTGGCGTATTAAAAGACTTCTCCTTTCAAAGTCAAAAACATAAAAAACAAAATTTGTCCCTTAAAATACTGAACATAAATACATCGATAGGTAGCAATTATGTGTGGCACCTGTCCAATTAAAAGTCAGAAATTAACAGGAAACTTAAAGAAACGGACAGCAGAATTTTCAAAACGAGCTTAAATCTGGCCTACATATAGTGCTTTTGTAATGGACAATAGATCTTTTTTATAAGAACAATGTGTATGCAAACAGGATAAATTAAATACCTTGTCAATGGGATAATCATGTTAATGATTATTGCTTTCCGACAATCGCCATGATATATATCATGAACTGTAAACAGAGTAAAACCTAAAATGCTTGCATCACCTGTTATATACGATTTCAAAGTCTTATTCAACAGTAAATGTTAAACCAGGAGATGACAAAACCGGTAAAATTATTAGACAGTCCATAGGTACCTGATGCAGGTCTATGACAAAATTAGCATGTGTCTAGTCACTTGAGAGACATTTTTACGATTGATAAGTTCATAATGCATTCTTATTGGTTAAATAATCAAACATTATACTATAAGAACGTTGATTCTTTTCTGTGTATTGACAGAAAGCTCACTAAAAGCTATACTGATATTAATAGTTATGTATGAAAGGGTTAATATTCAATGTTTTAACAAGATGGTGTTTTTAAAAAATTTCTATATTCAAATGATTTTTACAGAGTGTTCTTGTCACCCAATCTTTAGCTTTCATTTTATTTTTCTTGTTAGTCAATAATGTATCTTGGAAATGGTATTGGCTATTCTTCTAATCTTTTTTTTCCAGTGTTATAGATGATATTAATTTTAGCATCTACTTGCAGTGTTACACATGGTTCCTATTCTTCAATTTTTAAATTATGGTTCTTGTTTTGTTATACTTTTTTTATAATAGTTGTATGTTCACGATACTGCCTATTTTGTCTTGATATCTTTAGTTTATTTTGACTGATATTAAGTTCGATCTCGCAATACGCATTTCAATTTTGTTTAAAAAAAATTCACGAACAGAGTAAACAATTTTTATCTGTATGTTGCATTGTCTTGTTTAAAAACGTCGCTCCTGATTTACTCTAGCAAACTATTGGCATGATTTTGGAGTCCTTTATTGACAAGAAAGACTTACTTCTCAGTGCCCAAAGTTGCTGTTGATTTATTCCTTCAATGATGCCGGTTGCATGAATTTCACAAAGTTCTGATATGTATGGTTCAGGAGGCTTGGTCGGTTCTCGGCTTGAACTGGTGCTTACAAGACCTGGAATTTCTGTCACATTGTCTGCCTTAACACCAGTTTGTGCTGATAACGCTTTTTGCAGACTGAACACTGTTTTAAGGTCTGTAGCTTTACCTATGGATCCGGCCATTTGCGCATATTTCAATGGCGATTTTTTAATGTTATACTTATTTTCTTGAACAACTCTGTTCACTTGTAAAAAATTATCCATATATCCTTTGTTTTGATTTATAGAATGAACTTTTATTGTGAAAAGAACGAGATACGTGAAAATTGACAAATTCATTTTAGGAATATTCCCCAGATCTGAGTTTGAGATAGATCACCTTATTGTTCACAACGTTGATTAACATTGAGGTATTTTGTAACTTTACTTTGCATAACATTTACTGATAAATTGATATGTAAATATTTTCCTTCTGACGTTTATCAAAGTTACAAAGGACAGTGTGCATGCATGCTTCATAAATGTTGTCATATACATGTGACAATATCTGGTAAAGGGCAAAATAGAGGATGATCATTTTATATATTGCACATATTAACAAACCTTTAATCTACTACTAGTAATTAAATTCATCTGATTCAGTCTTTTTATATATTGTACATATTAACAAACTTTTAATCTACTAATTAAAATTTTCTATTTAGGAAACAAGAAGAAGATACAGAGTTGACAATAAAAATAAAAGTCAATTAGTTGATTGATTGATTGTTGCTGTTGTTTAACACCACTTTCAGCACTTTTTTTTATCATGTCGGCCAGTGTTTTTTTGGTGGAGGAAGCCGGAGAGAACTAACGACCTCTTTTTTAAAGTCGAAGAAGCCTTAGTTAACAAAATCACCACGGTCAAAAAGAAAAAAAAAAAAAAACAGGTATCAAGCAAAATGAATACTACTAAAAGCGGACATCATATCGAGTGCGTATATACCTGTAAGATGTCGTTTTCACTAAAGTCATCGGTCGTATATGTAGATAACGTTATAAATGAGATAAAGATGATTGGTCATCTTCTGGGACATCGATATTCCGTAACGGTAAAAAGTAACTCTATATGTTTAAGACTTTCGAAACACGTTTTAACCAAGCATAACATTTAAATACTTTTCCTTTAGGAGACAGACAAGGTAGCATTCAAACATGTCGTTGGATTCTTTTAGAATTGTTTCACACCAAACTTTCAGTTAGTATGTTAATTGTTACTCAGAAATCGGTTGCGATTGATGTTGAGGAGATATTAATAATTCAGATAGAGAAGTGGAGCTATTGGCATATCGTGCTATATAACGATGTTTTAAGGATATTTATATAATTTGGATATGCTGTAGAATAAAACAATATCCAGGTGAAAAATTCTTTAAAACGTAAAATTTGAATGAAATTGACCTTTTAAACTTTATTATTGATTGCTTAAAACATTAAGAGTAAAGTAATAAGTTAGCGAGAATTTAATGGAACTTGTTTTTCTGAATCCCCTCTTATAAACCATTAGTTAAACAATATTAAAGAACAGTTGATCGACGACATGTAGGATACATTTTTCCTATTACTTAGTTTTCTTGATGTACAATGAAGTCATGATTTACTCTCCCATGCTAAAAAGGTAATTTTTATTCCTATTGTTGGCAGTCAGAGCATAAATGGACCATAATTAAATGACTTCAACATTATAACATGACTCACACTGGGCGATACCGCTGCTGGTGGACTGTTCCCCGAGGGTATCACCAGGCTAGTAGCTCAGTATTCAATTCTGGCAAGAAAGACACACTATTCATTCAATTGTTTAAAATTTGCTGCTACACAACCATTTTAAAGTATGGAATGTATCTCCTTTATGCATAACTCTGATTCCATGTTAATATTTTGATATGTTTTTACCCGTTTTAGTTATATTAGCTCGTCAAAGTTTGTATTTGATTTTGATTTTCAAATATTCAAGCCTCGAGCTTCGTTGTAGAGATAATAAATGTCGAAATGCGCATCTGATAGAGTTAAATGTGTTCTCCGTTTAAACCTATCACTTGGCAATGTTGACTGTTTTTCTCCGATTTATGATTGTTGATTAACCCATTGGTATCTTCTGCCTCTTTTCTTGTTGTTTTTTTGGTTTTTTTTTGTTTTCGGTAAGGTCTACGAAAAATGATAATACGATTTTTGTTTGGATGTATTTAATTGACACGTAGTACAACAGATCATCTTGTATTTTCATGGTTCAGCGACTACTTATGTATAGTTTTTCTGTCATGTGAATTTCTCTCTTATTATGAGAAATAGGATAACTGTATTTGGTATATGGCTTTATTGCAACGTCTACGTGTCTGTCAGACAGGATTCACCTGACCTCGATCACATTCCATGTATCAGAGATCGATGTTAAAGTTATGTGATTATGTCCGTTTCGCAGATACTATAAGCAGTAGGTAAGTTATATGTGGAGCATGGAATGATTGTAAGGTGTACATTTCAGTCTGACTGGTTTTATGACCTTGATCTCATTACGTTTTTTTGTGTTTTGGTCTGTTTTTGAAATACCATAAGCAAAAGGTCTACAATATTTGGTGTATAAAATGATTTTATGGAGTAGATGTTTTTCTGGTAGGTATCATATGTCCTTGACCTCATTTCGTGGTTCATTTGTCAATGTTAAGTTTCTTTAGTTAGGTTTTCTTCTCCGATACTTTTATTATAAGGTCAACTATATTTGGTGTATGGAATGTAAGTAAGGTGTACGTGTCTGTCTGGCATGTATAATCTGACTCTGTGACTTCATTTTCGAGGTTCATTTGCCAATTTTAAGTTTTCCTGTTTAATGTAAAAATAAGAAGGTGTGGTATAATTGCCAATTAGATAACTCTCCACCAGAGACCAAATGACATAGAAGTTAACAACTATAGGTCATCGTATGACCTTCAACAATGAGCAAAACCTATACCGCATAGTAAGCTATAAAAGGCCCAGAAATGACAAATGTAAAACAATTCAAACGAGAAAACTAATGGCCTGATTTAAGTAAAAACAATGAACGAAATGCAAATATGAAATACAGCAACAAACGACAACCAATGAATGTCTGTCTGGAAGGGTTTATCTGTATTTGACCTTATTGTTATGGATCATTGATAATATTAAGTTTATGAGGTACTTGTAATAAAACCCTTATTTGGTGAGACATTTCAGCGTGTGCACTCATTCATTAATGTTAAGGATTTTTTATATATACTATGAACAAAATATATCAAAGAATGCTGTCAGCTACCGAGATAACGCTAATAGTATTTACCGTTATTCACGAGGCTAAGGCCCACCTCCGGGTGCGGGATTTTCTCGCTGTGTTGAAGACCCATTGGTGGCCTTCGGCTGTTATCTGCTCTTTGGTCGGGTTGTTGTCTCTTTGACATATTCCCCATTTCCATTCTCAATTTTATGAGCAATACAATTTTTCCTTGTAGTGACCTGTCTATTGCTTTGAGGATTGTTGTTTGTATCACTGTTTTTAACAGGATGTTGTCTAGCCTTTTGGACGTAATTTTGTATTATTATACCTAGCTTGGTAGTGTTTTCTATTTTTTTTATTGTGAAATAGTGGATTCTTATGTTTATATCGACTGCTTGTGTAGATTCCATCCAACAACGTCATTAACTTGGGAAATTGCAGAACAGGAAAAACATAAATATTTTGTTCATTTTTGTAAACTGTAAATAAGCCAATCAATATAAAAATGAAAGGATCAGTGATTTCAAAACAACAATACAATTATAACTTATACATTTATTCATTTGCTTCAAGTCATAAAGAAAGATTTGAGGGAATGTGTTATTTATTCCAAACATTATTTCATTTTTCAAATACATTAATTTCATGAGCATGCATGCCTACTTCAAAAGCCTTGTCAATAATAAAAACTCGTTTTTCAAAACTGAATATCCTCCCTTCCAGAAAAATCGATTATTCAGCAACGATTGTCTTTTATGAGTAGCTATAACTTACAAAGTAAAAAGTAACTATATTATTCAGCTTCCTTCAACTGAAAGCAATGTACTTGATAAGGGTTTAAGCCTTTAGGTAAGTCGTGTTTCTGGAAAGTCATTTGAATAAAGAATTAAATAATTATAAGAACACAGTGATATAAACATTAACTTTTATTTCGACATAAAATTTTACCACAGTATCCAAATTAATGAAGACGTTGATTGGCATATGTATCCCAATTATTTTATGCCTACACTTGCGCAAACACTCATTTGTCATAGCTACAACACATTATGCCAACTCAATATATAAATGTTTGAAGATCAAAACACTCATTTTTTATGCTCTTTACTTTTAAATATAACTTTTTCGAGTCCCATCATCGGTGCTTCAAAGGCTAAAGATGCTAGAAACGCTGCAGCATATGACAAACCTAGATGTCCAAGAAATTCATATATCTGAAAACATAAATTTAGAACTCAACTAAAATATCGTTACGAATTTATTCCAATAACTTTTACTCTAAAAGAAATCAATGTTCATGTTTTAATTTCATTTCAGTCTTTCATGTTTGAGGCTTTTCTCCTTAAAATGCTAGATATGACTGGTAATTTAAAAAAAAGTATTTAAGTGACGAAGAACATCAAATAATTTTTGTTAAAGTTTTGATATGATAAATAGCCTGTATTGTTTTCAAATAACCTTAAACATAAAATTATTTTGGAACTCGAAATTTAAGTAGACAAAGTAGAGTTAATCTTTTTGCAATAAGAAAAGGGTCCTTACAAGATGAATACGGAATACCCCGAAATTTCACGTCAAAGTATGACTTAGAACCTTTTACTAACGATAGAAAACAGAACAAAATAGTTGGTCGACCGTTATGGAATATCTGTTTCACAGATGACGACATATATGTTGCAATTGTCGTAACCACAATCCCGTCCTCTTTTCCTCGAATGTGGCCTACCGAATCAGACTTATCACCGGGTTTGTACAGACGGATGCCACATGTGAACAAGATCTTCTTACCTTTCTCGAGCACCAGAGAGCACTCCTGGATTTTGGTGGGGTTCGTGCTCAGTCTTTAGTTTTGTAGACGGTTGTTTGTCTTTTGTCGTTTTTCGCCATAGCATTGTCATTTCATTATCGACTTATGAGTTTAACTTTCCCTTTGGTATCTCTTTAACTTGGTAATTCAAATGATATCGGAACAAAATAACATTTCTTCGTATCGTCTCGGGATGGGTTACTTCTTATGCACCGAATGGAAAAGTAACATCTTACTGTTATTCAATCGGGTAATTTTTACTGTCGTACTAACTTATTCATACAGGATATATTTGCGTGTGACATATATTAGTATACAAATAAGGAGATGTGGTATGATTGCCAATGAGGCAACTATCCACAAGATTTCAAAAGACGAAGATATAAGCAATTAGTGAACAGATTAAAAATAAAAAATTCTTTTAAACCGGAATGCAAAGACGAGGAATTTTCCCCAAAAAAGCAACTCTTGAATAAACAAGCAAAAGAGTATTAACAAAAATACCAAACTCCAAGGTGAATTCAAAAAGGGGAAGTTCATTAAACCTGACAAAATCAAAGGCTCGACTTTATCAACCAATGGAACGAATGGAAAACAACTGTCAATTTCCTGAAATAATACAACAATATGAAGGTATTATAGAAAACTGATGTTACAAGCCAAATACAAAAACCTCTGCAAAGTCAATCACTTTCTTAAATGAAAAGTTAAATTTAATGTTATTACAAATTGACAAAAAAACCTCATCGATTTTATATTGATTATCTGATAAGATTTGGTTCTACTTTCTAACGGATTTAATATAAACAAAGGTAGCGTCAAGCAGTCAATCGTTTCACGATAGTTCATAGATCACTTTCCTAAATTCGAAATAAATAAACAAAATATAATATCATTTCTAAACATAAGGGGAAAAATATCAAATGCTCGTGTTGAGAATAATAGTTCATATCATTTACAGCGAATTGCAATTTAGAAGTTTATGATTAATAGTTCAATGCGATACTGTGATGTAATCATAATAAACCGTCGCTATTTTAAGTACTAGATACACCCTGAGAACGTAAGCCCGATGGAATGTATCCAATTTACACCATTATAATTTTGTAAATGATAGCTTTCAGTAACTAAGGAAGAGGAGGTCTTTCAGCAATTTTACTTTAAATATTTAGATTATATATTGGTAAAGCATGATAAATGCAAGACATCTAAATACGTTTAATGGCATCATTGTATACAGACATATATAACCCAATTAACATGTTAAAAATTTATTTTGTATATGTGTACTCCTTTCTACTCACAATTTCTATATCAGATAGATGAATCAATCTTCGTCGTGTAGATAGGTAGTAATATATCACAGGCGGATGTACCAGATATGCACAATATGTTAATCTACTCAGTGGAATAAATCCTTTCCATGAGAGAACTGTATTCACATAACCTATAAGATATTTCAGTGAAATGTCTTAATACTTATAATGATACCAGGAATGTAACAGGAAATAGGTAGAAGCTTCAACGGGGTAATCAAGAACAACAATTCGAAGACAAACTGATAAAAGCATGGTGAAAGGATAAAGACAAAAAGAAAAACAAACGTGCATAAAATACCACACAGAAAACAACAGAATGAGCAACACGAATCCCACAAAGCTGGGGATGAACTCGTGTACTCGCGAACGGTCAGAATTTCTTGATATCTGGTTTCCTTTAGTTGTTGTTTGTTATCTTGATTTGTGAGATTTGAACATTAGTTATACCTACTGTTGCCTTATTGACGAACTCTGACAAATGGAAACCAGACCATATGTATCCTGTATATATATGTTTATATTCATTAATAAATAACTAATTGTAAACGTATAACATTTGTTTTAAAATACATTATTAGAGGAATATTCTTTTCAATGTATTAGAATCATTCAACCACAGAGACATTTTAGGTCGATTGTGTGATCGGGGATAACTGTCGGGATTGTACTTTTATTTGATCTGCATTATTTCCATTATTTTCAAACTTAACTGTTTTAATGTGATTGAATCCCAAAAATTTGATTGTATCAGTTTAGAAATATGGTTAAATATGTCTCATTGTTGAGTTGAGTTTTCATTTAGAATGATATAAAGTCCGAGATTAAAATTTGTAATTAATTTGCACAGCAAAAAAAAAGGGTTCGAGTAAACTCAACTCTTCAGTAACACAATACGAAATGTGTGTTGTTATTTAGATTAATCCCGTGCTTAATGTTACTTCAGCAACAGATAGTAGCATTTTTATCTTATTTCATAAACATTCATAATATCCAATCAAATTTCTTGATTTGGCATGACAAGTCCTTGTATTTGAATAAAGTAACATTCATTTTCATTTGTTAATGGTAATAAAGTTAATTTTGCTGAAAATAAAAAAAACTTGTGTTTTGAACATTGTTGGTGATCAATGGAAGTCAAGATAAGATAGTTTATTATTTCGGACCATACAAACATACAAATTCAATATTAATGTGTTACAATTTGAACCTGTCGCATGCGCATAAAAAAGAGAAATGGCCGGATTTATGAATTGTGAGATACCAAAGAAATCAACAACTTTCAAATGTTATAATATTTGATTTAGAAAAAAGGCGACAAATGCTATATCCATAAACCTATATTATTTAACAGCATATCGTAAAGATATGCAATAAAATTGTAATTACCTCCATATCCATGAGCACAAGCAAAAATAACCCAGCCCACAGCAGCACCCCAGACGGTTCTATGCACTGTTATGTAGAACGAAGATACCTCTCTTGATTCACGACTTCCGTTGACGTCATCATATACACCATATAAAACTGCGCATGCTGATACAGCCGCTATCAGCCAACCAAATAAATTTAGAAACTATCAAGATAAAAAAAAGTCTTATAATATTTTGGACCAAGGGCATCCTAGGAAAATATTTTTAGAAAACATGAAATTGACGTGCCTTATTTGTGACCAGCCATGAGATTTTCAGGCTAATGGGTTTAACAGGGATCTTTGTGAAGTACATGTATTCATTGATTCAAAACAAGTTATTTTGCTAGATTCTCAAAATAACAGAATTATAGAATTTTTTGTTAAATTCGAATTTATTACAAATTCATTTTTTTTTCAATTTTTTACATGTATGTTTGTTATTATAGTTTGTATGTTTGTTTTTTGTTTTTTGTTTTTTGTTTTTTTTTTTTTTTGGGGGGGGGGGGGGGTCAAGTCTTTCTAAATTAATCAAAATGTAATCGTAGCTTTGGTAACTAAATGACTGAAGAATTTTTATTCGGTTGCCATATCAACAATGGGCCGGAATCTGCAATCAAAATGATAATGACTTAAACCTTTTTCTTTCTTTCGTTAGGAAAACTACATCCATGCCAAGAAAGTGAATACCATGATATATAATAAACCATCAAGGAGCTATGTATTATTTAATATGATTTCTAATGTTCGTCTTTTATCTTATTGGTGAACATATTATAGAGAAGTTTTCATTCAATATTCTTCATTATAGAGAAGTTTTCATTCAATATTCTTCAAAGGTTGAAATATAATGTATACATAATTTAGTTGCACTTGTCCATAGATAAATGACCACATATAAAATTTTATCGACCATGTACAAATTTAGCCAGTGGGGTTTATGATGTAAGTAAACACTCGATTCAGATTACTAAATGACCATGTTACGTAAACCCCATTACACATGTTACTTTTAAGTGTATTGGGAAGGTTAAGAGTTTAAATAAGGGTAATTCAACGGTCACTTCAAAGATGCAAAATTTTAGTACAGACGTTTATTACTTTATTTGATTAATGGGATAATTTCTCCGGGTACTATATAAACAAGTTTGTTCAGTTGGTGTACTATCTGTGTATTCCAACTGAACAGAACTTTGTGTTTTTATTTTAAAGGTTAGTAAACTTTACACATTTTTTGTAATGACTTAATCATTTAAATTGAGAAATAATTTGTGGTCAAAAGTAAATTTTTAAACTGTAATCTGAAAATAGAAACAATATACTCGTTTAATTTTAATTTAATGGAAAGCTTAAATTGTTCAATGTTATTTGATTTATTTACAATTTTATTGCATTTGTTAATTATTACTATGGTAATTTGTATTTCAATTTGAAGTTTAGTATTGTACAATAATAAACAAAACAGATCTGTGTATTCCATCTGAACAGAACTTTGTGTTTTTATTTTTAAGGCACCGGACAATTTCAGAAACCCTAGTGGTATGATAAAGTCCTAAAAACAAAACATGAACAGCATACAAATTACTTGTCAGCCACATACACATACGAGTTTCATCCGACCTCCCTCTACACCAAGTCGAGTATAGTCTCACCCCAAACAATACCAAAACCAAGTATAAAAAGTGGTGGAGGAAAAGAAAACGATTTCCGGTGGATGAAACTTAGAAGTGGTAAAAAAAAAAAAACAGGACAAGGAAACCAAGCATGAACAACAACCTTAAAGGATTTCACCCGTTGTCACCAGCACTGGGATCCAAAGTTGGAGAAAGGATAACAAAGAATGGAGAAAGGAGAACGGAGAACGGAGAAAGGTGGTCCCTGACGGAGTTGAATTTTGGACGTTTATTTTAAATTTAACTATTTTTTCACGCTTTGTGTATATATTGTATATATGTTCTATGAAAAAAATCTGATTATTAGATAGCAAGTAAGTAAACGTTAATGTTAAAAATAAATTAAATAGAAAAAAAAAAGTTAAAGTTAAAGTTAAAATAGATAAAATAGCGATAAGGTGAAAAAAATAGAAAGTAAGTTAAAGTTAGTTAGTAAAAAAAAAAAATAATGTATGTAAGAATTAGGTTAAATTGAAAATGAAGTCATTGATAAAGGTAAATTTAAAAAAGAAATGTCTAAATTGAGATAAACGAAATATGAATTATTATATTTAAGTGCCTAAACATCTTTATTTAAAGTGTTGATAAAAAAAAAATCATTTAATTTGGAAGACTGTAAATGGCAACTAAGATACTAAAATGATGATGATTGATGTAAAATAAAAATAAAGAAATATGAGATGATCAGGAAAATATTTTTAGTTTACTTAATAAAAAAAACAACAAGTAACTTAGAGTAACTATATTGAAATGTAATATGTCTTAGACGCTAACGTTTAGGCGGTTCAAATTCATTAAACGTAAAAAGGAAAGGAAGAAATATCCTTGTTTATATGAGAGCCTTTAAATAATGCCTTAAACTTTAACCTTCAAAAGATAAAAGTACATAACAAAAATCAAATCTGTAAGAAGAGGTTGGTTGTTTAAAGACTTAAAAACTTGATATTATGTGGAATAAAACGTCCACATTAGAAAATGTCGAGATAAGGCAAAGTGTCGTATAAGGAACAAATATAGATAAATAAATAAATAAATAAATAGTCATTTAAAGAGAAATGCACGTGTGAAAATGAATTACAAAACTTGGTTGATTGTTAAAGTGTTTAATGGTTCTAGAGCGATTACAATTAAAATGTTGAGTAAAACATGTGTTTTAAGGTTCCTGTGTGCAAGAATTTAATGTTAGTTTAATCATAAGAATTTAATTTTAGTTGATCACCTAATTAAATTAGTGTTAAATATGTTGACCTAGCTAGTCATCATGTAAAACCTTGATTGTAGCAAACACAATATTATTCTAGCATAGGCAAATCCTTATCCATAATGGTAAATCTTAACTGTAATCAAATGTTTTAGAAAACTATCCATTGTAAAACAAACAACAAATTTGACTAAAGTAATATAATAGAAAATGAGGGTATGACTTGCGGTAGTTCTGGAGTCGGAGCAAAATACCCAGGAATATGAGCATACTCCATAGAGAGGAAATGACTCAGGTATGTTTGGAGTTCGAGCAGACTACCAAGAAAAGCGGGCTTACCACAAAAGTAATAGAGAAACAATAATAATAATGATAAAAAAAAAAACACCAACGCTCTTATAATAAAGAATAAAGAGATTTGTAAATGAAAAATATTTTTAAGATCAAATTGTTTTTGGTTTTTTTATTTAAAAAAGCCATAAATAAAATACTGCATGTATATGGTCATATAAAGTCACGAATAAGAATAACTAAAATGCAATCAGTCATCTTGGTCATAACAACTTGTCTAACCGATATATACAATATCAACAGATATCAGCCATATTCCTTACAACCCACATATGTTGTTTGGAAACGCATTTTTTTTTTTTTTAAGAATAAAAACAGATATTTTTCTTTTATGTGCTTCAATTTGTTTGTACATATTCATTTCAATTATTTGTGTTGTTGATTTGTCTTTTTCCCCAAAATTTTGGAGCTCCAAAATTAAATGGAGTGGGGGAGTATTATTATAGAGAAGTTTTCATTCAATATTCTTCAAAGGTTGAAATATAATGTATACATAATTTAGTTGCACTTGTCCATAGATAAATGACCACATATAAAATTTTATCGACCATGTACAAATTTAGCCAGTGGGGTTTATGATGTAAGTAAACACTCGATTCAGATTACTAAATGACCATGTTACGTAAACCCCATTACACATGTTACTTTTAAGTGTATTGGGAAGGTTAAGAGTTTAAATAAGGGTAATTCAACGGTCACTTCAAAGATGCAAAATTTTAGTACAGACGTTTATTACTTTATTTGATTAATGGGATAATTTCTCCGGGTACTATATAAACAAGTTTGTTCAGTTGGTGTACTATCTGTGTATTCCAACTGAACAGAACTTTGTGTTTTTATTTTAAAGGTTAGTAAACTTTACACATTTTTTGTAATGACTTAATCATTTAAATTGAGAAATAATTTGTGGTCAAAAGTAAATTTTTAAACTGTAATCTGAAAATAGAAACAATATACTCGTTTAATTTTAATTTAATGGAAAGCTTAAATTGTTCAATGTTATTTGATTTATTTACAATTTTATTGCATTTGTTAATTATTACTATGGTAATTTGTATTTCAATTTGAAGTTTAGTATTGTACAATAATAAACAAAACAGATCTGTGTATTCCATCTGAACAGAACTTTGTGTTTTTATTTTTAAGGCACCGGACAATTTCAGAAACCCTAGTGGTATGATAAAGTCCTAAAAACAAAACATGAACAGCATACAAATTACTTGTCAGCCACATACACATACGAGTTTCATCCGACCTCCCTCTACACCAAGTCGAGTATAGTCTCACCCCAACTGACACCAAAACCAAGTATAAAAAACACATTATGTACATGTATCCTGACAAAGTGATTAAATCAAAGATCTGTTAATGCAGAGTAAGATGAAAAATCAAACAGCATGATGAATAATATTAGGGCATGTATGTGAAAGGAATGTAAGAATACTTTCAACAACACATACATCTTGTTTATGTAGTTCTAAGACAGTCAAAGATAAAGAAAAATTTTTTTTAAAAAAACTAAGTATAAACATGGAATGAGACACTATCGGTTGATTTACATGTACCGGTATATGTTCATATTCTCCCTTACAATATGCAACAATGAGATTTAATCTGATTCTGGAAAGTTATAATTTTTCGGTACTTTATTTTTCTAAATAATATCTAGCAATGGTGATATAATTTTAACCATTTTGTATAATCGAAAACATATTAATGATTCAAGAGAAAGTGATTTACGCAATGAAATCTTAAAGATAAATTGTGTGAATTTAGGACGCTATTCTAAACGGGATTTTAACCTAAATTATTAATTGTACGTTAAAAAATCTACTTGTTTTGTATATCTTAATAAATTCAAATGTTTTTAAGTCATGAAAAAATTAAACTTTCTTTTACCGCGCATGATATAATTGAACATTCAGTAACAGGTACCCCGATTACGTTTGTTACTTTACATCGACGGTTTCTCATTATGACGTTTACCGCCATAAGCATGGAATGTCATGGCGGGTCACATTTGGGCGGGAAGACCCTGTCTCGAAATCACATTAAATTAATCGTCAATTAGACATATCATAAATAACTCTATTGGCTTTTTATATTTCGTCCCAATAATTACCTTTTCCATCAACTAATCCCCTGCAGTACAAGAAAAGCCCTCCCCCTATCAACCATCCGGAAACGGAAATGAAGGTTTGGAGGAAATAAAGGTTACATTTGTGCCACAGGGTCTGATCGAGTTGATCTATTTTTATTGTGATATTAGGTTATTTTCTCATGATATGCGTATTTCATATTTATTCTTTTTTCATGTGTAAAGTAATGTATGTTTATAAAAGTACAGATTTAATCATTTTTTTTTTATATCGCTGTGTTATTTAATGATATACTTACTCTATTCATTTTGAACTTTAAATCTGTTTTATAAAGTAGATATCCTGTGAACATACCAACAAGGTAAGGTCCCATTCTAAAGTATGGCCGGAAGTATATTTCATAGTAGTGGGTCATGTCACCTCTAAACATATACAATAATACATGCATATAAATCCAACGAAATAAAAGAAGAAGGAAAAAAAGACATTAACGCAAACAAAAGATAAGTCTAATACTAAATGATTTTCTCTTAATCTGTCAAAGATCAAATGTAATAACAATTAAAAACATAAATGAAGGCACGAAACGAACATTATTATTAAATAGGATGAATAAAATATGGACAGGTTGCAGTTATTTTGATATACTTAAAAAATAAATAACAATTAACATAAACAAAATCCCGTATAACACTAAGTTGCTTCGAAAATAATTCATGATCCATACACATGACGATATTGCACATCTAAAGTAAAAGTTGGCTGAACTACCTTGCTATGCGGTATGGGTTTTGCTCATTGTTGGAGCCGATACGGTGACCTATACTTGCTCACTTCTTCACCATTTGGTCTATGTTGGAGAGTTGTCTCATTGACAACCATACCGCATCTTCTTATTTGTATAAGCTGAAAAACATATTATTCACCCGTCAAACGATGACATTGGAACATTCCACTTCGTAGCCATTATTCCGGTTGCTATCCATGTTCCACATAGAAAGGCCAATAGTAAAGCGTAACCAATCATCGGGTAACTAAAGCAAACACAATACATCACCGTAATACATACTAATCAAGCAAAAACAGTTATAATTACCACATAGTTTTCGTATCTTTAAGGAATAATTCAAATTAAGTTATTTTACTTTTTATACAATAAGTAAATTCCTGCTATCATGCAATTATTCATAATAAATTCATTAAATTGTACTTTACAAAGCCAAGAGTCTGTAATTCAGTGGTTTCGTTGGTTATTGTCTGCTATATATCTGTTTTTCGTTTATTGTCTTTCCTTAATTCAGGCCATTAGTTTTTTTCATTTGAATTATTTCACATTTTGCCATGTCAGGGTCTTTTATAACTGACTATACAGATTGGGTTTTCCTCATTGTTGAAGGCCATACGGTGATCTATAATTGCTTACATCATTGTTGCCTTATTGGCAATCATACTACATCTCCTTATTTCATATTATTCATTATTCGAATTGCTTGCTTTGTTTATTCGGACAATTCTCAATTTTGACACTCTAATACGTTTAAACATTAATTCTAATAGTTGAAAAAAAGTAGTATCTCAAATTAACTTACAGAAATAATGGCAGTATAATCAAAGGACTGAGTACAAAAAACTGCATGTCATTAGCTAGATACCAAGCCCATCCAAAGCACTGAAATACATTGCATATTTTTATGAAAGTGAAATATTGAAATCATTATCACAACTATCGATTAAAACACGGATGGATAAAACCTTTGAGAGGACAGAAAAAAAGACAAAAACACATGCTTTATTATGGTGAATGTAAAAGAAAGAACTTCATTGCAAAAATAATAAAACTTCAATGAATAAGTTTGTTTAGTTACGAGTGTCATGTAAATCTATATTCAGGGTATAACCTAACCAAGAATTGACCGCAGTTTATCTTTTGTCTTGTTAAAATCAAAACATTTCGATATATTAATCTTATTTGAAAAAGTTTAATTGTTCTGCTATTCTGCAATGATAACAGGAAATATAAGAACAAACAGAGACAATTCTCAAAGGAGGTATGATAAGAGCCATAGTTGGTCCCTGAAAATTAATCAAGTCTTTCCAAACAATGTTAATTGCATTGAAAAATTAACACATAAATATAATATGGACAATTCAGTACAGAAAATTCATATGTGATGTCACTTTGACGCTATAAACATGCTGAACTCGACCTATCTTACCTAACACGACCATTTTTCTAATAGAATTTGGACAAAGAAGATAACTATGACCCAAGGCCCTTCTCAAAAAAATATTTTACATCCATCAAAATCTTTATAAAACACATCTTGTAGCAAATTATTTTTTGTGTAAAGCTTTAGCTCATGACAAGATCTCTAAACGAGGCCATGCAAAAAGTTTTAGACCTAAAATATACCAGACAAAGTTCTAAAATGTTAATACTAATATCTGACAGACTAATGTTTTATGAACATCTGAAGGATATTATTTGATATATTTATGATACTTTTTGATTTTTCGAATCCAAGGGGTAAAAAAGTAGCCTTATCACACTTTCTCCTTTTAATCATGAGACCAAAAGCTATGCCACTTTTTGAGAATAAAGTTAATATGAGTTAGTATGCAATTTCACACTAGTCTTGAAGGCCGTACTTTGACCTATAATGGTTTACTTTTACAAATTGTGACTTGGATGGAGAGTTGTCTCATTGGCACTCATACCACATCTTCTTGTATCTATTGTATATTAATAGAAGTTTCCTTATATCAATGTTATACCCTACAAAAACGCACAAATGTTTAAAAAAAACTTTAAAATGATCATCAGTTTAATAATCTTACCGTATCCTCTGGTTTTTCAAAGAAATTATTGATATACAAGAGATTGTAATACCAGGAGTTTTTACAGTAGTTGTACTCTGCGCCATCTTTTTTCCATACTGGACCACTACCGATATATGGAAAGAGTGAAACATATACCATAAGTACCAGCATGTAAGGTGGTGTCAACCTGAGAATAGAAAATACTTTCAGGAATCTTAATCTAAAAATGAACAAAAAGATAACATGTTATGAATTTGTAGCATTCGAAGCTCTTTTCTGCTTTTGCCTTCTTCGAGAACAGTCAAACCCCAAAAAATATTTAAGATAATAAATATTTTCTTGGTAAACAGTGAAAAGTAATGTTTTGGTGTGGGTTTCTACACATCTTTTTTATATTAGATATATATAGTTCAGTATAAAAGTCTTCTCGAATAAAAAAAAAACAACAAACGAACGAACAAATAAATAAATAAATAAACTATAATCATATGTTCAGTTGAAAAAAATGGGTGATATGATACAGTTAGTGTCTGAATTCTACAACAACGGTTGTTTAACAATGCGACCAAAATGTTTATTTACTTTATTGTGCAAGTGAAAGGGTAGATATTTTCTTTTTGAATACAGTTTGTACTATTGATTCTCAGTAAAACATAGTTAATATGAAAGTTTTTACTCTAATATCTTTAGCTAAGGCTTAATAATCGATCATATACAAGAAGAGGTAAACAGAAAGAACACCGGCGTGACGTTCATTGCCAATCAGATATAAACAGATCACTCCATGAACAAAAATGTCAAAATTGTTTCTTTAATTTCTTTGTTTGCTTTATGAATAGTTTTTTTTTATTAGAAATATGTTTTGAAACAAATAAAATGCATATTATTCTATATAATACAGTATTAACATACGAAAACATAACCAATCAAGTATTATATCAAATATTCTTAATAAATATATTTACGAGTTAATTAAGGATTAATTTAATAAGAAGCAGGCAAACTATGCTTGGTTGCCTAACCATGAATTATAAAGTAATTTTAAACCGGAAACTTGAATGATATTTAACATGATTTTATACAAACAGCAGCCTTATATATTTAAAATATTCCAAATCTAGACAAAGTAAAGTCTTTAATTTGTCGGTACTACATTATGCATATTTCTTTTTGAATATGTTGTATGCATACCTCCAAAATCTGTGAAAGTAAAACATTCCCCAATTAAGTTTCCCTCCTTTTTTCTTTAGTTCTTTCATTACTATGTACACCAGTAACGTTCCACTGAAATATAAATGCATACTGTTCTATTGAAATGGCAAAAGGCGCTGTACACAGTGCAGAAGGAGTTGCTATGATGTCACATAGTTATAGGTCAAAAACCCGCTGAGGGAAAAACAAAACACTTGCTATCGCAGGTTACGTTACTGGGGAAAATTTCCGACGAAAAATATTATGTACTGTTTGGTGTTAACCCTGTAAAGTTGTCCGATGGAAAACATCGACACGATGTCATATAATTTTCAGACGAACTATTTGTTGCTTTTTTGAAACATATTGTAGTTTTTACCATCAAGTCCCTAGGACACGAAATGTTGATGGGTTTTTGATAAAATTAAACCCAAATCCCCTTCAAAATGTTCTCCTTTTTTATGACTGTGAGTTTTGTAATTATTTTTTACTGATTTTATAAATTTCAAAGAGTCAATGGATTTAAAAGGTATTTTTCAGCATTTTAGTACGAATTAAAAAGGGGAAATATTCTAGCAGTGTTTACAAAATCAAATGCGTCGTCTACGTTATGTCATGTTAATAAGAATTTAGGTATATTGTAATACATAAAACCATAGTTTTTCGGATTTACTTTAAAATTTTTTCGACTAGACACGTTTAAAGTTATGGGTATTCAAATGCATGCCTACTGGGCTTTTAATTTTCATTAAGGATACCAGAAAACTGGTCATATTTAGTATACTCTAAACTAAAAATAGCCACTGTGAATATCAGCAAAAATTTTGTAGATTATGTATTCACTCTATGATGTAAAAAAGTTCTCTCTCTTGAATTTACCAGTTTTAAACGACAAATTTTGATTTCTGAAAACGAACAAGTGTTCTTTGATTTCGTTATAGTTTTTAATTTTTGATGTTCTCACCAACAAAATAACAACAACTAAAGAGTAATATTTACCTAAGAACAAAAAATGTATCTACCGAAACCAAGGCATTACTGATGGCGGGAAATGTTGCTCTTTTAATCATCTTTGGTAGAAAACTTCCTACATTATCTGAAATGAAATAGTTCTCTAATATTTATATCAAATATTAATACGAAGGTATGAAAAGACGAGTTTTTATTTTTAAATTACAGTGTTATATAGATCTATCTAATATCTATTATACTAACATCCTCCTTATGCTCGTAAGTCATGATTACTATTTCGTATATCATAAATCATATATTCAACATTTGTCCTCTAAACTACAAAGTTCTTTTATTAAACGAAACACTAGAAAGGATGTCACATTCTGTGATCTTCTCTGCCATATATAAACCACCAGCCTTACCCTCCAAAAAATATTCATTTACATATATATTGCCACACGAAATCTTATATATAGAGGTAATGCGAGTAAGATAGCCTTTCATAAGAATCTCGATCATATTCTTTTTTCCAAAATAATGTTTGTAAATACCCATATGATGACACAATAAACATGTTTATTTACACTAAAAATTACCAAACTGTGTCGTCATATTCATTTTTCATGAAATAAATATCAATTTGACAGAATTATCAAATTCTACGACGTTTCATATTCAGGACCCCCGTCTTTCACTAATCATGTGTAGTCAATAAAGACATTAAAACTTTTAACGTTGCAATGTATTTGTGTTTTGTTATTTCACCAATCAAGATTAAACAGCGTTCACCTCCAAGATGGCACTATATTATATGAAGTTTGGACAAACTATTTCAAACTGCATATAATATAGTGTCATTTTGAAGGTTTTGTAATTTTGAAAGGGTGCATTATCTGAACTGCTAATGCAAAATAAAACTATTTTTTAGTGTTAGTATTATTATTTGTATTTATCATTTTAGATCTATTTTATTTCTAGTAATTTTTGTAGTTCATAATTCAATCACTACCACCCTCTAAATTAAAAGTAAAACCACAAAAAAATGAATGTTTTGCAGTAGACGCAATCGATTGCTTAACCAAAAGCTGCTGACTTTCTTATGTTTGATAGCATCAAAATATCTTACCAACATCACTTAAAATGAATCCATATGCATGTCCAAGTATAACCCAAGTCATGGATATAAACCGGATTCCGTTGATAGCTGTTAAGGAACCTTCCGGTTGATGTGTGTTAAATATTTTTGCTCCATTGGTGTACACAGAAAATGGCAATAAAAGTTGACCAAACAGTCCTGGAAATATTAAATAATATTTTTCAATTTCTTTAAAATAAAGCAAGAAATAACTGCTGCCATCTTGTTTTAACTATGATTATTTCTATATTCTCGATTGCTGATTGTCATGAGGTAGCCGCAATTGAAATAATCCAATTGCATATGCTATTTACCACTATCCCCCCAGAATGTCTTGAATGAACTGACGGCCTCTTTTTGTTTAAAGGGTGGATCTCAATGATTAGGACATATTTTTACACTGTAAAAGTTTAACTGTTTTAGACCAGAAAATCTGGAAGCGAGTCAATGAAAACCAAAAACACAACGCAACATTTTTTATTCTTAAAAGTAGCATATATTTTGTAACAAGAGAAAACTGATAACGATGGACAGTAAAGGTAATAATACAAGTCTGTATTGTTTTTAGTGATATAAGTAGGGGAAAGACTGCATCTGTTTCATAAAAACCACTTTTGATGAAGACAAGATACGATAACTGCCCTTGAATGTTTACTAGATAACATTTTTGTTCGCTATGGAGGTTCCGTGCATGTATCGTCAAGTTGTCGGAGTTCCGGTAGGGACTGACTGTGCACCACATGTTGCGGACCTGTTTTTGTGTTGTTATGAGTTGCAATTTATGACTGGAATCAGCAGGGACCCATCGAGACGGCGTCTGATGCAGGAGTTTGGTGACACTTATGAATATTTGGATGATGTATTGGCTCTCAATAATGACGACTTCGGTATGTACACTGGGGAGATTTGTCCCGCTGAACTGACCTTAGGTAGGGCTAATGCTGACAATGGGCGCTGCCCTTTCCTGGATTTTGATATCTATGTCTTTAACGGAAAGCTTGGTGCCAAAATTTATGATAAAAGAGATGATTTTTCATTTCCTGTTGTTGATTATCCATTTTTGGATGGTGGCGTTCCCTTGTCACCATCTTATGGTGTTTGTGTTTCGGCTTGTTCGGAGATGGACGTATTTTTTCTAAAACCAGTTGTTGGCATGGTGCGGGTTGTGTTCTTCTCGTGTATTTTGTGATGGTATGGTGTTGGGCCCTGGCGGGAGGGGTTGTGCTTGGTTTTCGTATGGTGTAGACGTAGTCTTTTAATCAATCAGTTTAATTGAGGTCTGGAGCTGGTATGTCAGTAACTGCTAATAGTCCTTTGTTAATTTATGTATCATTGTCATTTTGCTTAGTTTCTTTTGTTACCTATTCTGACATCGGACTCGGACTTCTTTTAAACTGAGTTTTACAGTGCGTTTTGCTGTGTGTTTGTTTATTCTACATTGGCTAGAGGTATAGGGGGAGGGTTGAGATATCACAAATTAAACATGTTTAACCCCGCCGCGTTTTTGCGCCTGTCCGAAGTCAGGAGCCTCTGGCCTTTGTTAGTCTTGTATGTTTTTTTAATTTAAGTTCATTTATATGTTTCGGAGTTTAGTGTGATGTCCATTTTTATTGAACTTGTACACTTTTTTGTTTAGGGGCCAGCTGAAGCCCGCCTCCGGGTGCGGGATTTTCTCGCTGTGTTGAAGACCCATAGGTGGCTTTCGGCTGTTTTCTGCTCTTTGGTCGGGTTGTTGTCTCTTTGACACATTCCCCATTTCCATTTTCAATTTTATTAGTATCAAAACACAAGCAAATGTAACAGCCAATTAAACCAATCGTTGTTTTAACTTAAAACACAAGTGCTTTTAAGTCTTTGAACTAGTTTTGAAACGAGTATCAGACTATTTCTGTCCCTAAACATTCTATCAGTTTTACGCTGTTATAAACAGACCTTGTTTATATTTACTATAACTATCTGTTACATCATGATGAATCAGTGGCGTCTTTTCACTCTCTACAAATGCTGTTTCTGCATGAAGTTCTGATTGTCTACTTGTTTTCTCCCATTTAGGCAACTGAATCATTGTAACATCATAAAAGGTTCCAACAACCATTATAAATACGAAGAGAGAAATAATAACACTAAAAATGAAAAAAAAAAGATAATCTGAGACAAGATTGATAGCTAGAAGAAAATAGTGGCATATATTTTATGCTTCTACAATATACTAAAAAAAGAGGCGGAAGGTACCAAGAAGACATGTCGAAGAGAAACTGACAAATAAACGTCAGACAAGACTCAAAAAGGGCATCATATAGTTTGTTAAAAATTTCAAAACAAAACGTAATTTTTAGTGCAAATAATCGATCATAGTTCATTTCAGTTGGATTTGAGAGAATAAAAGGTGCAAATTATGCCATATAAACGATATATTTCAAATAAAACATAGTTAAGAGTACAATGTACAAAGAGCTTATAAAAATAAGAAGATGTGGTATGATTGGCCAATGAGACAACTCTCCACGAGATCTAGAGACCAAATGACACAGAAATTAACAACTATAGGTCACCGTACGGCCTTCAACAATGAGTAAAACTCATATCTTATTAGTTGGTTTGTCAATCATTCTAAATTTAATTATTCTTTAAATATGCATAAGCGTGTCTTAATTTTCACAAAAATGTAAACACTAAGATCTGTGACATATGTGCTTAAGCTATGGATACAGACTGTGCAATCATACATCCAGAAATACAAAAAAAAAAACAACATATATAAATACCTACAGAACAATAATAGCTCTCGAATCAAAAGGTTTATCCGGTTCCTGGCATTCTGCTTTATTAACAATAAATATGTTGTTTGTATAATTTCTTAGGACTAAAAAGGAAAAAAAGATATTGCATAGATAAGAAAGAATAGGATGGAATAAATGTACTAAACCTCCAAGTATATTCTCAATAAAAATCAATGTCAATATGTATTGGCAAATTTTGGAGAAATGACGTCAATCGATCCTCATTGGAACAATTTGCAATGGACTTTCATAGTCATAGTATAGAAACTTCCGAATGAAAGTGGTGGGAACATTAAGGTTTAACAAGATGCCAAAATCCTAAATAGTGTAACCGTCTTTTCAGTCCAAATTAGTTACGTGTCTTGGAGTCGATGCCCCAGTCTTGAGCTATACGTTGTTGTTTATCTATTTTTGTATATAAAGATAAGGAGATGTGGTGTAGAAGCGGATTAAGAGGGATGGGCACCATTCCTTATGGAGCTACTTATATGGTAAATGCATATACTTTTTACAAGTTCCACTCCTAACGTTGCCCTGTTGGTGGGCCCCCCTTTCTAAAAATCCTGGATCCGCATTCATGGTATGATTTCCAATGTATTATAGTACTGGCTGTTGTTACTTTCGTTTTTCTCGAATTGTATTTAAATTTTCATTTCGTGTTTTATTCTTTTTCTTCGACCTGAACACATAGATGTTTCTCTTTCTTTGACAATAAAAAAGAATAAAATCTTGATTTAGTTTGATGATCAGGTTTATCCAACATACTTACTGGAGTCAATTAAAATTTGAGTATCCTGCTCTGAACAGCTATCAGGAAGACACATACCAATACTTATTGTGGTATACTGTAAAATTATTAATATGAAACAGTATGTTCAATTTTCAACCTTCAACACTCTTCACATAAGTATATCTTAATTGTACAGTGAAAATCAGATTGAAAGAATTAATCCACATTCGTGTAAAACAAATGTCAATGTAGATGAATATATTTTATTTTAGGTAGGAACACGTCATCCTTAATAAAAGCGATCTGATTTGATTAAAAAGTTCTCCGAACCTTGCGTCATAAAATTGCTTGATTTTTTTCGTTGCTAATAACATTTTGGTGAACTTGTCTTTCAACAGACGATCGGCTATAAAAACGATGTTCTCTAACTTAAAAATTCATTGCTTGGTGACTATGTAAATCGCATCTATCCCATTGAAATGCAACTAAAGGATACTACAGATGTAGTAAGGCCTGCTTCGTATAACTTGACTGATAATTACCATTGTCTGTTAGGGTCTATTTAGAACTGCGCTTTACGACAAAACAGATGACACTAACAACTGAATGTTAACGTTTATCTATTTTGTGGCAATATTCCACAGGGTCCTGCATATGGAGGATGTGTCTCCAAGCTAATACAGTATTTTTTCATCCTTCTTCTTGATCGTAGTTTTGTCCATTTTTCTCCAACTTATATTCTTTTTTAACTTTTTAAGTTTGTTGTGCCCTAGTTATAATTCTAATGTTAACACTTTGGTGTTTATTCGAGCTATTGCGCAGTATATCCGCTTCAGGTGGAAACGTTCTCTAACAGACATGTCTATGAAAACCATCGCTTTTCAACTCATTCGAAAACGCGTGCATATTTTTTCAAGAGTAAACTCATCACTGTATCTTTGATCTTCTTTACGTATTTTGTTTTGCTTCGGTAAGTGTTTTGAAATTAAAAGAATTCCAATAACTTATAATAATCATTGCGATTTCTTCACAAACGTTAAAAAGTTTCATCCAGTAATACCCTATCACATTAGGACCACGATCCCACTACCACCTCAGAAATTATGAAATAATTTTGAAGTCGTAGTAAGATCGTGGTGGTCGAAGTAAGGACGTGTCAAAGTCTTCATGGTCGTGGAGGTCCACGACCAACTTTGAACATGCTCAAAACATTCGTAGTGCAGTCGTGGCCAAAACTAGTCGTAGTAGAGGCATAGGAAGGTCGCGATGAGGACGTAGTAAGATCGGGATGGGCGTCAATGTGATGGGCGTAGAAGCAATGTATTGGAAATCGTGCGACCTTACTACGATTTCACTGCGACTATCCCGATTTCGCTACGTCCTTATTGCGCTTCTACTACGATATTGATACTATTATACGGCGATGAGGAAGACAATAGTACGCTGATTGCCGTCCCTTCTACGATACTACTACGTCCTAGCCTCGATAATTGCACGACCTTATTCTGTTGATATGATAAACGGATGCAATAACTTCTACCTGTACTTCAACCATGAACACACATGATCAAAACCTACTTCTGCAATCTTTAATTCAGCTGCACTTGGCTTTTTGTTGAAGGAAGACTCCAGTTTGGGCATTACGACCGACTTATGAAAAAATTAAGGATGGATGATCAACAGTTTTTTTTTTTTTTTAACTTTAAGGATGTCTCCAAAAATGTTTGATGAACTTTTGAACAGAGTAAGTCCTCGAATTCAGAAGATAGACACTCGATTCAGAAAGGCACTAGATCCCGGTCTGAAAGTTACTGTTACCTTAAGGCATTTAGCTTCTGGCGCTATGTATCCAACCCTTTAGTACGATTTCAGAGTCGCGCGCAATACTATAAGTACTTTTATACCAGAGGTTGCCAGGCAATTGTACGGCAGTATAAAGATGAAGTCATATCCTGTCCAACAGAACCAAATAGATGGCGAGCTATTGCCGAAGAATTTCACAGAAGATGGAACGTCACAACAGCGCGCCAACGTTGGACTAATGTTGTGCCGCCAACACCAACGTACGCCCAACGGACCGATAATTTGCCAACGTTGGCCCACTGTTAGTTTGTTGACCGGGAACGTTTCAATAAAAAAAAACACAGATGTAAAAAAGATGAAAATCAGAAGAATATGTATAATAAGTCTTGCTATACAAATCTTTGAATATCCTAAAACTATTCGTAAAGTTATGAGACAAGGTAGATTTGATTGGTATAAACATGCGAGATCCAAAAGGGTATTTGGCACTTCTTTTGTGCATCTAAAAAACAATGCATTGTATATGCTCTTGGTCATACAAGGTCCATTTTCACAACACATCCTTGGACCATCAGTCTCAGTGATCCAGTATTAAAGTTTATACCTGGAGTTATTGATTGAAATAAGGCAGTTGCACAATGAACATGATAGCTGAGTTTAGGAGTGATAATTTTATTACACAAAGGAATTAGATTAACAACCTAATACATATCTTTATTTCTTACCAATAAATATGAAACAAATGGTATATTCGAATAAATCCCTATCCATTACAGTGCTTTTATATCTATGTAGAATGAGTGCCCTAGAAGTGTAGTCCTCCGCGCAAAGAGTGCACTTTAAGAGTAGACAATCGCGCTTAGAGTGCCATCTGAGAAAAATATAACCCTACCCTTTTCAAAAGCTGCAGGAAACACTAACGTGCCACACGCTTGTGGCGCACTCGATGGAAAGCATGTTGCTATTAGAAGCTCGCCTAAAAGCGGACCCTTGTTTCATAACTATAAAGGGTTTTTTTTATTAGTGCTCCTTGCCTTGGTGGATGTAGACTACACATTTTTATGGATAGATGTGGGAGGACATGGTTCCTTGTCGGACACCCAGATTTACAACGCGACAGAATTAAAGGAGTGTTTGAAAAATGAGACTATTGGATTTCCAGAGCCAGATCTCTTACCTAATGACCACCTGAATATGCCATACTTCATCTTGGGTGACGACGCATTTGGGTTGAGAACTTATTTGATGAAGCCATATTCTAGAGCACAGAAACAACGTAGTGGAGTCTGGGTTCTATCGTATTAGACTTGTATTGAGATCGTAATGCGATCGGAAAGATCTTGGTAGAAGCGTACAGAGGCGTGGTAAGGTCTTATACGTCGTAGCATGAGCGTGACAAGATTGTAATTAGAACGTGTTACTATCGTAGCGGAATCATATCAGGATCATAGCAAGGTAGAGTATCAACGTGAAAACTATGAAATATTGAATATTTAGGCCGACCATACCACGATCTCACCACGATCTTATTTTTTTATATATGGTAGTGGGATCTTCATGGTCTTGGTTTAGTGTGACGGGGCTTAAATTTAGTTTTTCTTTACTTATTCTCCATTTAAGTGTGATCGGCTTTAATTTATTTAGTGTAAATGTGGATTATGGAAGACTTTATTATTCAACCAAATAGATGCTACAAGCACCAAAGGACACAATAAAAATCGAACAAAGATACAAACAAACAACCACGATAAG